CAACATACTTCAGCCACGTTATTGTGACTCATCGCCAGCATACGTATATATGTGTGTGTATGTATATGTAGGTGTATAAAGTACATATGGAAGCTGATCAGAATTGCATTTCACCTTTGTAAATGCACATTAATGACACTTCGAACACTTTATGTAGGGCTTACGTAAATCTGTGTATCTATGTATTTACGTATGTAGGTTAGCTTAGCATTTTAAAAGTACCGAATCACCTTCTGTGGTTGATTGTTGAATAAATCCCTGAACTATATGTTTAACTGATCTCTAACCCTGTCTATGGAGGACAGAAGAAAATGTATATATGCTGGTTAGCATTGTAAATGTCTGGCCACGTTTGTGGTAGAAAAAAAAAAGTTATAGTTGTTTATGCAAAATCAACGCTATTTTACGATTTGTTTGTGTTTCTCACAAGTACATATTTGTACAAGTCTTTAATTGCAGCACAAGTACGGTATTACTACTAGTACTCATCACACATGCCGGCTCCACCATCTCTATCACCACTACCAAAGTCGGGACCAAAGAGCTAAAGCTTAACTCCCCGCAAGCACAAGTAGGTGAAGGGAACTATCAGGGGGAAAGCGCCCATGCCATCACGACTATATAGCACTGGGAAGGGGTCAGGATATAAGGATTTGGGATGGGACGGGGGGGAAGGAATGGTGCCCCAATCACTTATGGACGGTCGGGGATTGAACGCCGACCTGCATTCCTATCAGTACCATACTATCACCACTATCTTCTCATTACTATATCGCCCTTCACCATCATCCTTTCCCCCCTCCCCCCATATGTCCAACCAATTGGGCTGGACGGTTGAGCGACGGTCTCGCTTCATGCAGGTCGGCGTTCAATCCCCGACCATCCAAGTGGTTGGGTACCATTCCTTCCCCCCGTTCCATCCCAAATCCTTTTCCTGACCCCCCTTTCCCAGTGCTATATAGTCGTAATGGCTTGATAGTTTCCCTGAAAATTCCCTTCCCTTCCTTCCCTTCCCCCATCCCTATCCCTGCCCTTCCCTATACTTTCCCCAGCATCCTCCCCCGCAATATCCCCCCACCATCACCATTCCTTCCCCACACCTTCACCCTAAATCCCCACTACACGATGAGACGTTATCGCTGCGGGGTCAAGGTCAACTATACTTTCTCTTCCGCTGAGTTCATTGGCAACTTTCTCATTAGAGAGCTGTAGCAAAGCGAAAAGAGATTTTCCTAACAAATGCACGTGAGAATAGACCAACAATTCTCACTTCTCCACATTAATCTCCCCAGAGAACTATATTCACACCAGCGAATAACCTATGGGTTTGTTTACATATGGGATTCAATCTGAGCTTCAAGAATCCGACTTCAAGTCGGATTCTTGAAGAACTGCACAATTAAGTTATCGGATTCGTACAAGAACATCACATTGAGACGTACCTCAGACGCCAGCACATCTGTAAATGAGATACAAGAGTTTATATAATGCATTTAAGATCATGATAGGGAACTGAATTTCAAGTTTGTGCATATCATTGAGACAAGTTAGTCACAATGTTGCAACAACGTTCTGGCTATATTGTGTGTTTGACTGACACACTAACCGCTGATTGATTGCTCTATCAGCCTCCAGGGTACTGACTCTCTCTCTAGACATACTCATCTATCCATCCATCCCCATCTTGGAGCTCCAGGTCTTAACATTCCTTACTTAATCACTCCAACATTCCTAAATGCTATCTAATCCTATTCCTTCCTATCCCCTACATCCTTCTATTGCCTCATCCATACTTCCAATCTCCTCTCTCAGCCGTCGCCCCTATATGGTGTCACATAATGCGTTTCTCAATCAATCAATCAGTCAGCCAATCACTCCACCCCTCAGTCTATATCACACAGAAATGCAGTAGCTTCAAACAGCACTGGGAAAACAGACGTTGTTGTTGTTATAGATTCAGCTACTGGGAACAAAAAGTTCCAAGTAGCACGGGCTATGGTGAGCCCGTTGTGGCCTTACCTGGCCCAGGAGCGGGGCTGTAACTTCCGGAAAACAGACATTACACCCCTCCCCCTTATATACCAGTCTTTATCTAAGCCTCTCCCTCATATATACCATTATTTACCCAAGACTTCTCCTTATATCCCATTAATTACCTAAGCCTCTCCCTTATATCCTATTACTGTATTTGCCTAAGCTTCCCCCACATGGTCAGAAAACCTATTTACGCCCAACCTATTTACAATTCAAGTACTTACCTCAAGCCCCCTTAACACCTCCAATCGCCAATCCCCCTTAACACCTCCAATCCCCCCTTAACACCTCCAATCGCCAATCCCCCTTAACACCTCCAATCGCCAATCCCCCTTAACACTACCAATCTCCAATCCTCCTTAACACCTCCAATCTCCCTTAACACCTCCAATCCCCCTTAACACCTTCAATCTCCAATCCCCCTTAACACCTCCAATTCCCCTTAACACCTCCAATCCCGCTTTAACACCTCCAATCCCCCTTAACACCTCCAATCCCCCGTAACTCCTCCAATCTCCAACAAATCACACCTGCATTCCTCACCCTCCCACGTCTCTCTCCAACCGGTAAATGACAGAAATTCTAACTGGTTTGGTAAGCAGAATGTGACTATGAAAGTGGGCCATTAACACTACAGGAAGAGTCATTCCAACACTGTAAAGGAAGATTCATTCCAACACTGTAAAGGAAGATTCATTCCAACACTGTAAAGGAAGATTCATTCCAACACTGTAAAGGAAGATTCATTCCAACTCTGTAAAGGAAGATTCATTCCAACACTGTAAAGGAAGATTCATTCCAACACTGTAAAGGAAGATTCATTCCAACACTGTAAAGGAAGATTCATTCCAACACTGTAAAGGAAGATTCATTCCAACACTGTAAAGGAAGATTCATTCCAACACTGTAAAGGAAAATTCATTCCTACACTGTAAAGGAAGATTCATTCCAACACTGTAAAGGAAGATTCATTCCAACACTGTAAAGGAAGATTCATTCCAACACTGTAAAGGAAGATTCATTCCAACACTGTAAAGGAAGATTCATTCCAACACTGTAAAGGAAGATTCATTCCAACACTGTAAAGGAAGATTCATTCCAACACTGTAAAGGAAGATTCACTCCAACACTGTAAAGGAAGATTCATTCCAACACTGTAAAGGAAGATTCATTCCAACACTGTAAAGGAAGATTCATTCCAACACTGTAAAGGAAGATTCATTCCAACACTGTAAAGGAAGATTCATTCCAACACTGTAAAGGAAGATTCATTCCAACACTGTAAAGGAAGATTCATTCCAACACTGTGAAGGAAGATTCATTCCAACACTGTAAAGGAAGATTCATTCCAACACTGTAAAGCAAGATTCATTCCAACACTGTAAAGGAAGATTCATTCCAACACTGTAAAGGATGATTCATTCCAACACTGTAAAGGAAGATTCATTCCAACACTGTAAAGGAAGGTTCATTCCAACACTGTAAAGGAAGATTCATTCCAACACTGTAAAGGAAGATTCATTCCAACACTGTAAAGGAAGATTCATTCCAACACTGTAAAGGAAGATTCATTCCAACACTGTAAAGCAAGATTCATTCCAACACTGTAAAGCAAGATTCATTCCAACACTGTAAAGCAAGATTCATTCCAACACTGTAAAGGAAGATTCATTCCAACACTGTAAAGCAAGATTCATTCCAACACTGTAAAGCAAGATTCATTCCAACACTGTAAAGCAAGATTCATTCCAACACTGTAAAGGAAGATTCATTCCAACACTGTAAAGGAAGATTCATTCCAACACTGTAAAGGAAGATTCATTCCAACACTGTAAAGGAAGATTCATTCCAACACTGTAAAGCAAGATTCATTCCAACACTGTAAAGGAAGATTCATTCCAACACTGTAAAGGAAGATTCATTCCAACACTGTGAAGGAAGATTCATTCCAACACTGTAAAGGAAGATTCATTCCAACACTGTAAAGGAAGATTCATTCCAACACTGTAAAGCAAGATTCATTCCAACACTGAACGTTTAGAGACAGTAGGAAGACACATTTCTCACCAAATACTTAGGACAGAAGAAACATAAATTCCTCCTCAAATGTTGAGAGGTAAAAGTTAAATTTCTCATTAATTGTTTGGCCAGAATGAGATACATTTGTTTACAGACAGATGTTTACAGACAGATGTTTACAGACAGATGTTTACAGACAGATGTTTACAGAACTATATTTACACAGAGAAGACGATGAGAACAGTACTTGGAAACACAAGAGTAAAACTGAGAGAGTGAAAGAGGACCCAGGAGCGAGCATACATGCATAAGAACAACACAGAATGTATTCTTAAGAACCAGCCTTAATTACTACATAACAGGCGGAAAACTACATCAATAGATCAAAATTTGAGGCTAACCAAGAGAAATGGAGAATTAACATCAAATTATTATCAAATTCTTAGAATTAATTATATATATATATATATATATATATATATATATATATATATATATATATATATATATATATATATATATATATATATATATATATATAGCCGCCAGTTTTCTCTTTCAGCGCCTTAATATGGCGATCCAGAGAGGATATGTTCACTGCATCCATGGTTCCTGCCCGCCATCTGAGGAGCTGGAGGAACTCCGCAACCAGGGACAAGTAGCCTTGTACCCTGCATGTAACCAGTGTTGCAACCCCCTTTTTGTGTAATGAAATTTTAAATAAAATAAAATGACAAATATAAATTACATATATATGTCATTTATATATATATAAATGGAGGAGAAGGAGAGAGAGATTTCTCATAAATCACCTGTAATTTTCGACCCATACAAAAACTCATTATGAGGTGGGTTTCCAGGGATGGTATCTCAAGGTTCTGGGAGGAGGGTGTGGGAGGAGGTGGAATTCACTGGACGTGACTATCAGAAGTGTAGGAGCTCTGGTAATGTTAGAGGTGAAGGCTGAGTATTGGAGATACAGTGGTACTTTAGTGGAAACTTATAATCGAGCACTAACTAAAGTTGGATCATCAGATCAAGTTCTTTTACCTCTGGTAAGTATTGCGTTCATGGGCTTAATAATACGTGAAAATGGCTAATTTCGTGACATTAAGAGAAAATAGCTGACACAGTTACTCTTGGTATATGGGCTCCCAAGACCCGTTTGTCTGCCCCCACCACCATCCCACCCAGCCTGATAACGGGATTTCCTTACAAGGTGACGTATGCCTGCAGTCCAGGAACACAGTCAGAGTTTCTAAAGCCTAGAGGAGTCGTCCAGCACTGCAGGAGAGGCATGTGTCGAGTGTGTGAGACAAGAAATGACGTCTAAGTGGTGTCAGTCGTGTTCGCTACCAGAGGAACTTTAGTGCTTGGCTTCCCGACGGCTTTCTAAGAACAGTAATCGACGGTACGCATCAAGAGTCAGGAAAGCCACCTCTTACAGCGTCATTTCGTCCGATAACATTTCAAGAACTATGAAAGCAGCGTCTAGCCACTAAGCCACCACACACATCCCCGGCCCCTGGCAACAGCTAAACTCTCCATCCTCCTAAACAAAGATTAATGATTCTCTGGGAACCACTCAGGCATGGCAGAACATACTGTTGTTGGACAATGCATATCTAGTCGACCCTTCCAGGAGACAAAACACAGGCTCTTCAATCAATAATTCCATAAAGGACTCCGCCTTCCGCTTTCATCTAAAAGCACCCAGCGCAGAACTACATATCTGAAGCTTCCAAAATTAGAACACAGATATGCATGGAGATTGAAGAGGAAACACCATCGAGTACACTGTTGTTATCTATCACAGCTCCAGGTGATAACAGTGTTCCAGCAGTCGCTGACACCAGAATACAGTCCCTGTGTGTGTGTTGATGAATCTGTGGTTCATAAAGCAGCTTTATCTTTTTCACTTTGATCAGCAGGTGTTTCCACAGGTGAAGGCTGAGTATGCTCAGTGATATGGCACAGGACCTCCTGTCGGAACTTACATGAATAGCCATCACATGTCTAGCTGTCAACGTTCCCGATGCTACAAGGCTTTTTTTGTGTGTGGGTTCCTCTGTGGCCCTTATAACTATCGCTGTGGAATAACTATATCATATAACATTGTCTGGAAATGGCACCAGCACAAAGGGCGATCTCTCGCCTTACAGCTGTGGTGGCTCACCGTTCAGGCGCTGCACACTCAGGAGCATGTTTTATGTAGGTTGCACAATGTGTTCTGAAGGCCTGTCTGGGTTCCTGAAGAACTATCCTGATAGTGGCAAGTTTGGTGCTTGCCACAGATGATGTTTTGTTAATTTGTTCAGTAGGCCGGTTTGATGTTATACATTCTCGCAGTTCCATCTAGTCTCATTTCACTGGGAACTATCTCATTTAGGCCCTCTCATCTTTCATCATTATTTTACATTTTTAAGGATTAATATTAAGCAGTCATCTGTTCCACTCTTGCTGGAGCACATCTGGATTTACTTACAACTTTCTGACTCATTTTTTCATTTTTAATTCTCATCAGTTCTGCTTCATTCACGGACATGAACATAAATCACTTTTTCCTGTCAGGTCGTTCATATAATCAGGAAGAGAATGGGTCCAATTAACGAGCCCCAGAGGCACGCCACTTGCAACTTCACTAGGACTTTTCTCCGCTCATGCTTAACAGGACTATTCCCGCTATTTTAGCCTGGTTCTCAAGCTTGTACAGGCTATGACACTGAAGAGTCACGTGCTTAACCTAGCCCAAAAGGCAGTCAGGAAACTAACACCCCCACGGCGCATCTCACACCTCGACAGCAGTGGCTGCAAAACCTTATATGAAGCACAAGTTCGGTCTCACCTAGAGTATGCACCTCTCTCCTGGACGGCCTGCCCCCCATCATTCATCAGACTTTTGGACAAAGTGGAGAGCCGTACAAGAAGGCTCATGTCTAGTCTTGACCAAGTCTGGTGGATAAGGTCTGAAGATCAGAGCCTGCAACACCGTCGTGATGTTGGTCGTCTTACTGGTATGAACAAGGCCAACATTCTCAAAGTTCCACACCTGGCCCAACTTTGTGGACAACCAGTAGTTGGCACCAGTAACGCATGGCTCTCAGCCATCAAGAGCCTCATGCAAGAGTTGCTCTTCTCAAGAACATCACTCCATCGGCGATCAATCTTCCCTAGGGTGAGTCGCATCTATATATGCGATATCAACTCGACCGATTATGACTCTGGCACACAGTTGGCTACTGACTTATCCTGTTCCTTATATGATAGTTACTTAGATTTAAATCATGTTTATTCGTAACCTTTTGGGCTGGACGGTAGAGCGACGGTCTCGCTTCATGCAGGTCGGCGTTCAATCCCTGACCGTCCAAGTGGTTGGGCATCATTCCTTCCCTCCGTGCCATCCTAAAATCCTTATCCTAACTCCTTCCAAGTGCCATGTAGTCGTAAAGGTTTGGTGCTTGCTCCATAAATGAGTCTCTAAGGCAGAAACTTGACGCTCGAAGAAACATGGGTCTTTGGGAAGGAAAATGGTTTTGAGTTAGGACTCATTTATAGGCGATAGAGCTCACAAGGATTTAGAGCAGGAGGAGGAAGGTCCCAATGACTCTACTTTGCTCCAAGGTCACCAAGTGATTCACAACAGCGTATAAGTTGTACCCCCAACGTTCCAATCACTCAACCAAGTGGCTCTCACTCAAGCAAATGTCTCTCACTCAACTCCTTCCCCTACACTCAACCTAGCGTCTCATTAAGTATACTTCTCACACAAAACATATCTTACCCGGCCTCGTCCCTCTCTCACTATCCACGTCCCTCTCACTAACCACTCTCTCTCTCACTATCCACGTCTCTCACTATCCTCTCTCTCTCTCTCTCGTCTGTCCCTCCACCACTTCCAGTACCCTGGTCGCTGGTGGTAGCGGTACCAAGCACCCCTGGTACCTTGACCCGAGGTACCGCTGGACATAAAAGTGAAACTGGTCAGGTTGTGGCATTTTGACGCCTCCTTCCCTCCCCCCTCACAGGCTTGCCAACCTTCGCAATAACAATCATCTACAGGTTTGTATTTTCTAAATTTATGGTTTAGAAGTTAGTATTGTGGATGTCGTTCGTCACATTGATAATATCATGTAGTAGTGAAGGTTCGGAAGGTGGTTAAGGGTAGATTTTTTTGCTAATGGGTAAAGGTAGATATTTATAAAGCTAGTTGTTGCTGGCTAGTTTGATGCCTCCTCTACCTTTTACCCCTTAGTCCCCCCTCTTCCATCCTCTCTGCCTTCTCAATCTCCTTTTCTTATTTCCTTAAAAATGGTTTCTTTCAACTCTTCCATTACCCCTTAACATAATCCTCCACACCCCCTCTTGCCTACCGACACGAGCCCTCCATGACCCCCTTAACTCCTCCTCCTCCCCTCCCCCCCCCCTTGGTCAGGTTCGGGTACACCACATACTTTCATTTTCAGGATCTGAAACTGTTGGGCTCTGACAGACTGTAACCTAATCCTCCACATTCACTCCCTCCACATGTATCCCCTCTACATATACCCCTCCACATTCACCCCCTAATCCCCCTCCAAATCCACTCTTCCTCCCCCCCCCCCCTTCCACAAGCATAATCGTCATATACACACACAAACTATTACACACACACACATACACACACACACCAGTATGTACACGAACACATCTAAAACAATGAACAAATCCTTATTCAGTGACTAAGTTGAGCACTGGACTCATAGTGTCTTGAATTGCCTACTAATTAGTCTCTATCAAGACCAGGTGTTAAGAGAAAATGTTCTGTAACTGTTGTTAGTGCTTGTCTGTCTGTCTGGCCCTTCCGTGTCCCTCTGTGTACCTGTCTGCTCACCTGTCTCACCTGTCTGTTCACCTGTCTCATCTGTCTGTTCTTTTGTGTCTGTTTCAAGTACTAGATTGGGTACCCGGCTGTGCTCAGGTCTCTATCGCCCCTTCCCCCCTCTCTCACCTCTCTCATCCTCTCCACCTTTCTCTCCCTTCTCGCCCAACATCCTTCCTCTTCCCTATTTCACCTCTCTCTCTCTCTCTCTCTCTCTCTCTCTCTCTCTCTCTCTCTCTCTCTCTCTCTCTCTCTCTCTCTCTCTCTCTCTCTCTCTCTCTCTCTCTCTCGTTCTTTCTCAGAAAATCGAATATTACAGACATTTTGTTTTTATTAATAAATTTACCAAAACAGCTGAAAAAGAAATGATGACACTCTACGGACAATGAAAATCCCATTTCAAACGGTGAAAAATCGCAGCGATCGCTATAGATGCCGATATTTCTTAAAAGGTGGCACTGGGGCCGAACCTGATTTGCTTGAAAGTTGTATGAAGGTAGCCCCAAGTATCAGGCTATTAATCTTGAAGGGATAAGACACAAACATTCTATTGTATAGATAAAAATATGTGTATTTTGCCGTCCATTTATCGGCATGTCGATAATAGGATGATATGCTGTATTTAATTAAATGTGTTTATTTGAGCTTCAGCTCCTGGGCTCGGTTTATCAACCTTAAATTGGTTTCAAGTTTATTCTGGACAAGCTAATTAATCCAGGCTTGTCCAGTGATATGTTAGGTTGTTGCTTGCCGCGGTCTGCAGGACAACATGACCGCTGAGCCGGTCGGCCGAGCGGACAGCACGCTGGACTTGTGATCCTGTGGTCCTGGGTTCGATCTCAGGCGCCGGCGAGAAACAATGGGCAGAGTTTCTTTCACCCTATGCCCCTGTTACCTAGCAGTAAAATTGGTACCTGGGTGTTAGCCAGCTGTCACGGGCTGCTTCCTGGGGGTGGAGGCTTGGTCGAGGGCCGGGCCGCGGGGACACTGAAAGCACCGAAATCATCTCAAGATAATGCCAAGATAACATATTAATTACACATCTGTTCCATAATCTCTTGCGCTTGTATGTGTGTGTGTTTTTTTTGGCTCCATATAAGGAGTATGTCTACTACCTCTCACCTAGTTATTACATTTCTTTTGGCTATTGTTCTGACCCTGAAGACTTACTTTCTAATACATATTTGGCTCATTCGGGTACTTTGGAAGTTACAGCCCCTCTCCTGTGCCAGGTAAGTCCACTACGGGCTCACCATAGCCCGTGCTACTTGGAACTTTTTGTTCCAAGTAGCGAATTTTAAACAACAACAAGGGTACTTTGGTTCCATCTGTGACCTTCGCTTCAGTTCCCTATGCCCAGTTATCTCTGTCACTCCAGTCGATATCGTGAGTATTTTGGGCGTTGTGATCATGTCTCCCCCCTTATTCCTTTCGTCGGGATCATGATATTCATTTATGAAAAGTTTGTTCACGTCTGTCATTCCTTTCAGCTCAGGGGCCAGCCGGCTGGCATATCTCTCAACCTTCTCCAGTTTCACAGTGTTTCATGAGCTAAGGGTTCGATGCGGACGCTGCATACCCAAAAAATTGGTCTAATGTACGTGATGTACAGAGTTTTTGAGCAGCTAGGAGTCCCTCGTTGTTACTGAGCAACTAGAGGTCAACTTGCTATTGTTCATTCAGTGATTAACAGTCTAATTCGATCAACCTCGTTGATTGTACTGAAAATTATGAATGGCTATAGCATTGTGTGTACTCACCTAGTTGTGCTTGCGGGGATTGAGCTCTGGCTCTTTGGTCCCGCCTCTCAACCGTCAATCAACTGGTGTACAGGTTCCTGAGCCTACTGGGCTCTGTCATATCTACATTTGAAACTGTGTATGGAGTCAGCCTCCACCACATCACTGCCTAATGCATTCCATCTGTTAACTACTCTGACACTGAAAAAAATATTTTAATGTCTCTGTGGCTCGTGTGTGTGTGTGTGTGTGTGTGGTGTGTGTGTGTGTGTGTGTGTGTGTGTGTGTGTGTGTGAGCATAAGTAAACAATCGGGTAGACACTGCAAAACAACATTCATAAATACAATACACCACCGAATGCATAATACAACATGAACACACATATTTACACACGCGCGCATACATTATGAATAAATATACACTCATACTTGTGCATACACAAACACACACACGTACGTTCACTACCGTAAGAAATAACAGCT